GTAAAGGCTAGATTAAGGTTAGGTCACTGCAATTCCTTTCTAGTATGAACAAGCGTTCTTGCCTGATAGGAATGAAACGAGTTCATCACTCATTTTTAGCAATGTATGAGTTTCCGGTTATCGCAGAAATAATACTCTATATTATATTCATAGCTCGGTAACCATATTCTGATTGTACATAAACGGATTAAAAATATGATTAATATTAGATTTGTTTATGCATCTTTGGTTTGTTAAACTATTTACCGTAGGGTCTTAAAACATGGAATTTTGCTAAATCTTAAAAGAAATTACATAGCTTTCGTTAAGACACATTTTCACCACTTAATGGCAATATCTGATCACCCTATATACTATATACATCTAATGTAAAATTATTGAACATACAGAATAAATCGATAAAAATATGCATTGAGAAAAATCTCTTTTCAATCTCACATATTATTAATAAGGCTAAACCTACTTACATACAAGTAAGAGTATAAGTGTATAAGTAAAGCTGTTAACCATTCGTTATAAGCTCAAAAGTAAACTTAAGTTAAGCCGGTTAGTTGAATTAGATTCATTAGGTTCGAAAGAGGTAATAAACTCGGCGCAAGACAATGGGCTAATCAAGTCAATGTAATAGAGAAACTTTGGTAGTTATAGGGGCACAAGGGTTTGTCCCAAAATGGTCAGGTCTAATAGCAGCTTGGTGTTTGATCCATTAAAACAGCATTGAAATTTAATAAATTGTTGTAAACACAATCGGTTACTTAGACATGTTTTGTTGTAAGAAATGCTAAATTGTTTGTAGCATAACCTTTCTAGACTGTAATGATTGTTGCAGTGATAGGCCTACACCAAATGGTTCTTACCAAACTCTTGCAGGCTGAGTTATAATTTTAAACTGTGTTTCACAACCTAAGTCTTGCAAAATGGGAACTAACCTATTTGCTAACGGGGTTTTAAATATATTTTAGTGAGTCTGTGGCCCAGTAGGTAGTGCCTCGAACTTCCTGCCGAAGGTAACGGTGTCGTGGGTTAGGGTTCTGGTACCTGTCACTACTTTATATCAGTACAGATGAAAAAATGAAAATGAACATTGTAAACCATTATTTATTAACTTTAATGCTTTGACTGTGATAAACCTTTATATTTATAATGTATTGTTTTCTAGTTTTAAGTTGCATGAAACCTTTGCTCTAAGGGGTGATTTTCATTGCTTTGACACTAGGAAAAGAGAAAACCTTGACATTCCTTTTACAAGACTGGAAAAGATTAAAAGAAGCCATATTATTATGGGTAGAAAGTTGTGGAACAAACTATCGCCAAGAATAATTCAACTCCCTTACAATAGTTTTAAGAATGCAATTTATGAATGGCTTGTCAGAAACCCCCTGTATAAGATTGATGAGTTTTTTGCTCTACAACCAATGACATAACCTCAAATGATTATTTAATACCAGCCTTGCATGTATTTTCAGCCTGTCTGTAGCTTATCTGCTTTTGTATGATTATTTATTTGCATGATTTGTAATAATTCTTTATTATTACTATTAGTTGCTTGAACTTGACTTGTGCCTCTACCAGCATGTATTTATATAATTTGACTGTGTCTCATGCATTTATATAATGTCTATAGACGAATAAATATCATTTCATCATTTCATTTCATTTCATTTCATTTCAGTTCACTCTTGTACTGTACTGGATCACCCCTTGCTTTGCTAGACACTAAATACACATAGGTCAAATATGGACTGAAAATTGTAAGGTGTAAAAATCCACAAAACTATCGACAATGCAATATTATAAATTATCATTTATACTTTTAAATATCACGAAAAAGCATTGGCTTTCACAGAATTATAACTTAACATAATCTAACTTAGAAACACTTATCCGAAATTGGAAAATAAAATTATATAGAGTAGAAGTATATTTGCGAGATAAAAACAAGTGCTATGTTTTCTAATCTTGGTCACCGCATTTTCAATGTGGTGTGGGTAAGCGTTTTTGCCTTATTCGAACAAAAATAGTACTCCACTTATTTTAATCTTGAGTTTCAAGATCTAGGAGAAATTTTGGATTTCTCTCAGCAGTCTAATCTAAAGATAATGTAAATTTATTCTTTAGTATTTATCCAAAAATAGATTAAATCTGAACTGAGATTATAAACATTTTTATAAAATCTTTCATTTAAAACGACGAGATTACTTCTAATACAGTAGTTAGAAAAGTAAAACTAAACCAGGGTATTAATGAAAAAAACTAAAGTTGACCCAAAATAACTCTAAGTTCAATAAAAGTACACCATCGATCGATGACTAGAAACCCAAATACCCCCAACAATGTTAGGAAAAATATATTAAAAATAAAACCCATCGTTGCTAGATTTCCAGTCATAATATCATACTGGAAAATTCAGCAATATGATAGCTAATATTATCCAAAGCATTACACGCTGGGGGACTATACTAAACATGAAACACAGAATAACTCTCGGGCATTATCTGTCACTAGTACTTCATCTCTCATAAGTTATGTTGTTGGTTTAACTTATGCAATACTATCATTTAAAATTATTTCAATCATCGTAGGTATAATAAAAATAAATTTTATTTACTTTTGCGTAAAGCTCACTTTGGCTACGTCAAACTGAGAGGAAAATGTCATGTTATAGGATACGAAGAAAACATATAACAATTTTATTTAGTGCAGCTTTCTATATAAAAACCTGCATACAATAATTTGTATAAACAAATTTTCACTATTTATAAATGTTTTCAAATATATCAAATAATTCGTTTCTAATCAAAAACTCTATTCTTATTCAAAATTCAAATAAATTCAAATATGTTTATTAAAGAAATTACGATTGGTGGGCCTCGCCAAGTTTACTTGTCTGCGAGATCCAGTTGATGCATAAACAAAATGTTTACATTCTTATCTTTTTTTCTAGATCAAAGATAGCTTGATATACTATTTCTAAGGCTGTTTCTGGAAGGTACTTTAACTTGAAACAAAGTAATTTTGGCAGCACACTAAAACATATGAATGTAATGACATGTTTTATGCTTTATAATCTACAGAATTCTCTTTGGAGTGCCTTTATATTTGGTTGTCTTTGTTTTTCATGGTTCGTAGACCATGTTTGAAATTCTTTATTTCTATTTCATATTCTATATTTTTTTCTATATAATATTTTACATTTTAAGGGAATGTCAAATGGGTGGTAAACATTTGATAATTGGTTCCCAACACGACACATCTTTAAGTACATACATGTTTTGGAATGTGTAACAAGTGAATGTTATATGGGTTTACAGTTAAATATGTGCTAAATAAATCAAATAAACCCTACATCTATATTTAATTTCTCCTTCATTCTTTTAGCGAAAAAATACGGTATATGCTTTTCTTAACTTCCCACATTTACAACTGTCAAACCTTTTCTAATAGTTGGAAAATGTGATATTTTCGATTATATTTATAAATTTAATAATTTTACGTATAGATTTGTGTAACTTTTGTGTGAAAGCAATCAAATGTTGTAAAATATCATAAAAAAACTATACGTTTTTAAGTTTGGGATGAGATTTTATATTTTCAAGACATGAAACTATTTTAAAAGAAACATTCTTGTGCATTATACATTTTAATTTGCAATGACAAATACTTTTTTTTATATTGGCAATCACTACTTTTGTAGAGTAAAGAAGTGAAAGAAATTTGATAATGTACCAAATATTTGTTTAACACCACTGAACAATAATATGTATTAATAGATATTAGCAGAATTTTTATTAATTTGAATTATAAAATGTCAATAGTCGCTAAAAGAACAAAATATAAATAATAATCAAACCACTGCACATTTTTGAATCCGATCGTTTAATTTATTGATAAGGTTAAGGACTTAGTATTATTTTTAATGTACATATTTTTATTTCTTTAAATGAAAATTTGAATCATTACAGACAAACAACACTTACAATACTGTGACAATGAAAGAACAGAATTTCCTTTCCACTTACCATCCAAAAGCATTGTTAATACAGTGTTACTTAGCTATAATCATGTCTGACAGTTCTTACATTAGTACTGTTACGTATGAGTGTATTTATTTAAAAATTGAATATTAAAAGTGATTATTCATAGGTAAATTACGAAGGACCACCGCAAATTACATTGCGGAAAATAATAAGAAACTTGAAAACATGTACCTTTACAAACTCCAGTGCAGACGTAGGGGGGAAGTGGGAAAGATGGCGTATTTGAACTTTAGATTAGTGTCGGCGCTGTGACGAACCCTTGGTAGTTGGATGTTGGATGAGACGATTTTCGCTCTTCTTTCTGCTTGAAGGCTTGATGTTCGCACGTAACGCTAAGTCTTTTATTGTTCGTGGCCACTTTAATTACACGGAAGTCGCGACACCGCACAGGACACTTTGATTACTTGATGGTGCATGATTCGTGAGTTAATAAAACGCAAATAAAAATACTACTTGTCACTAAAACAACAAAAATAACTTCAGAATAAGATTGGGCAATATTAATTGCAATAAAAATGAAAACTGAAACAACTTGATGAAATAATGTAAATGGAAATGAGATTAAAAGAGGTGGCCGGTACTAGACCATATTAATAGGGCCGTGGACAGAGAGAGAATGACCAGGATACCTGTCTGAGGCGAACGACAAGCGATAAGGACAATGACATGAATAGAGCGATAAGATTGTTGTCTGAAGATAAAACGGACTTGGGTTCTGTGGCTTTGGCGTTTGGCATTACCATTTGTATTTAAAACAAAATAAATATTCTTCTTTAGAATTAATATAAAGTTAATAGTTCCTTTTCCTTCTAAATACTTAACATACAGGGGGCCTTGAATCCTCCAGGATTCAACAAATCAACACAAAGATAATATTCCAATAAAATAAATCTTCTTTCCAAAGTGGTTGAGAAAAAATACTATTTACAAATTAAAGTTCTTGAAGTTACTCTTGATAAGCAGGCAAAGGAAAAACCTTGTGAGCTGGTCGAGTCAAGAGTCCTTGTTGAGTTTTCAAGTGGACGACCCGTACAACCTCATCCTTTCCAGGGGAGACACCCACAATCCGAGCTAACGGCCAAGAAAGAGGAGGAGTAGGCTGATGTACTAAGGCGAGGTCACCAATGCGAAGATTGGAATTTTGTTCAGTCCATTTAACCCGCTGATGGAGGGTGTGAATGTACTCCAGTTGCCATCTCTTCCAGATGCGTTGATTTAGGGCCTTGACCAAATGCCAGTGTTTCAGGCGTTATCAGGAACATCTTCCAGATTTTCATCAGGAACAGAGACAAGTGGAGCTCCAACCAAGAAATGTCCTGGAGTGAGCGCAGTGACATCTGATGGGTCGTTTGACATTGGTGTGAGAGGTCTCGAATTAAGTATCGCCTCCACTTGAGTAGTCAGGGTCATGAACTCTGAGAGGGTTAGGACATGTTCGCCGATGACACGGCGGAGGTGATGCTTGGCACTCTTAACGGCTCCTTCCCAGAGACCACCTTGGTGAGGAGCAGCTGGGGGGTTGAAATGGAAGGTAATGTCTTGGTTTGAGGAAAATTCAAGAAGAGATGTTCGTTCAGCTGACTTGAAGAGAGCTTGAAAGGCGTTATTAGCACCAACGAAGTTTGTCCCGCAGTCCGAATATATGTTCTTGCAGAGGCCACGTCTTGACACAAAACGAGTTAGTGCAGAAATGAAGGCATCAGTTGATAGGTCAGTAGCTACTTCAATGTGAACAGCCTTTGTTACAAGGCAGACGAAGATACAGATGTACGCTTTTGTCAAACGTATTGAACGGAGGTTATGAACCTTGATGTTGAAAGGACCTCCGTAGTCCAACCCCGTGTTGAGAAATGGACGGGAAGGTGTCACTCGGGGTTTTGGGAGATCACCCATCAGTGGAATTGAATTATGTGGTTTGTGTCGAAAGCAGACAACACACTTAAAAATTCGAGAGCGTATTGCACTGCGGGCAGAAAGAATCCAAACGCTCTGAGCTAGAAGGGATTGAGTTAATTGAAGCCCTGAATGCAAATATTTCTTGTGATAGAAATCAATAAGAATGTCAACCACATGATGTTTCTTTGGTAGAATTACAGGATGCTTAACGTCTTCTGAAAGTTGAGATGCATTCAATCGTCCACCAACACGAAGTAAACCTGATTTATCAATGAAAGGATGGAGACGTCGAAGTGATGAAGTGGTTTTAGATGAGTTGTTTTTCAACGCTGGGATGTCATCTCCAAAAACCGTTTCTTGAACCTTCTTGAAGATTGTCAGTCGACTTTGAGTTAACTCAGATGAGGTGAGAGGGCCTGAGCACCTTTTTGAGTGCCGGAGGTTATAGATGAATCGTAAAATGTAACCCATCACTCGTGTAAGTTTGCTGAAGTGAGAGAATCTAGTGAGGAGTTCCCATTCTTGAGTGGGTTTTATTGTAGATATAAGAGTGGTAGGTGACTGAGGTTTATTTTCTCCTGTTTTTGTAATATCTAGAGGAGTAAAGTTTGAGGATGGCCAAGATTCACTCGAATATTGAAGCCATGGGGGACCAGACCACCAAAGTTCGTGGTTAGACAATTCTGATGGGAGGATACCTCGTGACGCGCAGTCAGCGGGGTTATATTCACTGGATATGTGTCGCCAGCAATGATTAGGTACTAATTCTTGCACCTGCGCAACCCTGTTCCCAACAAAGGTCTTCAATCGATGAGGTGGTGTCTGCAGCCAAGTTAGGGTGATAGTAGAGTCACACCAGAGAATGATGGATGAAATCTTTAATTTTATCTTGTAAATAGAAACCACATAGGCTACTATCTGGGCAAGAAGATGGGCGGCGCATAGTTCCAAGCGTGGAATAGTAAGTTTTTTCAAGGGAGCAACCCGAGTTTTTGACATAATCTGCCTGATTGTGACAGTCCCATCACTGAGTTCACAGCGCAAGTAAACAACTGCAGCATAACCATTCTCGGAGGCATCTGAGAAGCCATGTAATGCAGTAGTGCATGCTCGTGACACTTGAAGAGCTCGAGGAATTGAAATCTCTCTCAGGCTGTCTGTAGATGAAGTGAAACTTTGCCACATTTCGAGTAGGGCAGCCGGAAGTGTTTGATCCCAATCCAATCCTTTGGTCCACAAGAGCTGCATAAAACGTTTTGCCCACATCACAATTGGGGAGAGGAAACCACAGGGGTCATATATTTGTGCAATCACACTGAGCACCTGACGCTTTGTAGTTGCGCTTGCGGAAAAATTAAAATTGTATGTAAAACAGTCAGTAACTGGAGACCAGTGAATGCCTAAAATGGTGTGATGAGGCTGTGAACTATCTTGATGGAACACCGGAGTCTCTCGATGACCATCTGGAAGATCTAGAAGAAGTCGACTGGAGTTGGAAGTCCATTTCCTTAGCTCGAAGCCTCCACGTGCTAATAGGGCGATGAGTTGTCTCTGGAGTCTTAAAGCTTCTTCTTCAGAATCTCCACCAGAAATCACATCGTCAACGAAGGTTTGTGTTCGAAGAATCTCTGCCGCTTCAGGGAACGAGTCGCCTTCATCATTGGCAAGTTGGTGCAAAGTCCTGATTGCGAGGTATGGTGAGCAATTGACTCCATAGGTTACTGTGGTAAGTCTGAAGGTAGAGGGTGGTTGATCTGGACGAGTATGCCATAGGATATACTGAAACTTCTGGTCCTCAGGATGGACTTTAATCTGTCTGTACATCTGCCTTATATCACATGAAAAAACTACACTATGAGTTCTAAACATGAGCAACAAGTCACAAATGTTGGTTTGCATTTTTCTTCCTGTAAGCAAAATATCATTGAGAGATGTACCATTGGAGGTTTTTGCGCTAGCATCGAACACAGTACGTAGTTTAGTGGTACTGCTTGATTCCTTCAACACCCCATGATGAGGTAAATAGTAATGCGGGGCGGATAAGTCAACATTATGAGCAAGTTCCATATGTCCCGAAGACGAATAATCAGACATGAAGTCGAAATATAGAGATTTGAATTGAGGTTGAGCCTTAAACTTTTTCTGAAGTGAGTGTAGTCTTTTCTCGGCAGCAAAGACAGAATTTCCTAGAGCAGGGTGTTCAGTCTTGAACGGTAGTCGGACGCAATATCTGCCAGATTGGTCCCGAGAGTGAGTAGAGAGGAAGTGTTCTTCACACATTTTATCATCATCTGATTGCTTTGATGCGACTGGTGGCTCCTCCTGGTGCCAAAACCGCTGGATAGAATTGTGCAGTTCAATGTCATTGACTGCCAAAAGCATGGTTGACATGTGAGAACTAGTGTCATCATCCAGCTTGATTGCACAGGGTGCGTCACCCATTACCAAAAATCCAAAGTGTGAGCCTATTAAACTTGGTAGGTTAGGCCCGAGGTTGTGAACTGCTTGAGTGAGCATGAGAGGGAAAAGTGATCCACCTAAAAGAACATCAATCCCACCAGGTAAATGGAACATGGGATCAGCCAAAACGTAAGAATTTACCATCTCAATGACACCAGAGGATATTGGCATGCGGGGTAAATCAACACATATTTTATCAAGAATTAAAAAAGTTTGATTCAGTAGAGATAGTTTTTCCATTCAATGTCTCTACCTTGAGAGAAGTGGCACCTTTACATCGATTAGGTATTTGAGAGAGGCCTACTACACTAGGCGCACTTTTTGTGCGTGAGACACATAAAAGTTGAGCAACATGTTCTGTGAGAAAACATGATTGACTACCAGAGTCAGCGAGAGCTCGAAATACATGGCTAACTCCGGTGGGCGATACCAGCTTCACAAGTAAAGTGCCCAACAACACTGTTGAGGGATGATGTGTTGTGGAACATCTTTCTTGACTAGTCAGGGCTGATGAGAGTTGAGATGATGAATTTTCTTGATGAGCTGAGGAAGAATCACGAGTTGAAGTCTGAGGCGTAGCCTGGTTAGATGATTGACGAGGTTTACCATAAAAATGTAATAAAGTATGATGATTCTGATGGCATGTGTAACAGCTCGACTTAGATTTACAGTCACTCAGTAGATGATTCCCTAAACACGATGTGCACCGCTTATTCTCCTTTACAATCTGGTAACGGGCCTTAGGATCCTTATCTTTAAAGACCGAGCATGTATACACCTTATGATCAATTTTGTTGCATACAAAACATTAAGTGTACTTAGGGTAGGATTTGCTTTGATCACCAGAATGATAAGTCAGCATAGACACCTTATTACCTACCGATGATTTGTTGAATCTTGAGTTAATATATGAATTATCAGGTGTTGTTTTCACATTATGACTGTTGTGGAGGTTTGCTTCTTCAATTTGATTACATTCTTTAGTGAGAAACTGAATTAACTCAGTCACATTAGGTAAGGCAGGGTTATCACCATCACTGTCAGTGGGGTTATTAATTGCACGAAAAATCTCAAATCGTTTCCTTAAATCACTATCCAGTTTTCTCAAAAGCATGGCAGACAAAAGGTGATTATTTTTTGTAGCAATTTTACTATTTAAGCCTTTGAGTGCTTGAATGTTTTCATTATATAAATTTACAAATTTTCTCATTTGTTTTGAGGTGTGATTTACTGAGGGTAAGTCAAGAATCTGATTTAAGTGCAGAGTAACTAATCGTCTAGGCGAATGATACCGCTCTTTCAACAAATCATAGGCTACTGTGTAGTTTGCATCAGAAATAGGCAGGGATTTAATTAAATTCAAGGGTTCCCCAGAAACAATGCCTAATAAATACTGAAATTTCACCACATCAGACAAAGATGAGTTTTTATGAATGCTAGAATCAAACAAATTTATAAAGGACACCCACTCCAGAGGTTCACCACTGAAATGTTTAAGTTCAAGCTTGGGTAAGCGTACAACCGAAGGTTGTGGAGTCGGAGTCTTATCACTCTTATTTTTTGAGGATTGAAGTTTACTTTCAAGGTTGGCAACATTGGCATTAATGTAGTCAATTAATTCATCAACACTATTTAGAGGAGCATAGTTGGGTTGAAAGTTAGGATCTTTTGCTAATTCAAGTTCATGGCAGGCATCTAAAGCCTCAGAGAAATCATCTCGGAGTTTATTTACAGACTTAGCC